TTGTAGTAGCATTTTACACTTTGAAGGTGCAAAACGCATACCGAACATGGCTACACTAGCACTCAAACTATCCAGAAAAGCTTGTAACTTACCTGGATCTTCACTCAGTAGCGCAATGTCGTCTGCATACTCTACCTGGGAGTAAATCGATGCCACTATCCTCGCACGAGGATAGAGCTAATTCCATAATCAGATATATTAAAAAGCTAAATAGAAAAGGAGAGAGAGGGCAACCCTGTCGAACACCACTTTCCGTGGTGAACTCCGGTGAAAACGTGCCGTAAGCTCGAACTCGACTTCGGCTATGAGTATAGTATAGTATATTGAAATAAACTTCTCGGGCACATCTTTCAGAGAAAGGCAGCGCCAGAGTTTAGAGCGGTCGATTGAGTCGAAAGCCGCTTTAAGATCGAGGAAGATAGAGATAGTGGGTCTACGAAAAGAATGTCGGTGCTCCGGAGTTTGGCAAAGAGTGATGATGTGGTCGATACAACCTCGACCAGGTCTAAAACCAGCCTGATTCTCGCGCGTGCACTCGTCACGTGCGGCAGACAATCGACGGAGTATGATACCGGCGAGAAGTTTAGAAACGATGTTGGTTAAACTAATTTCTCTATGGGTTTCACAAGAGGATCTGTCACCTTTCTTGTAAATTGGTATGATGACCGATTCACACCATTTGTGCATCTATTCTTTATCCTTGCAACCTGTCTACGAAAAATCGCTATCTTCTTCTGAACTCTGCTCGCAAGATTCCACTACCTTCTGTTTTTAATTCAAATGAACAGTCATGATATAGCAACCAAAACCAGCGCATGAAGATACGTGGTTGATGGTCGTAACAGCTGAACTGACCTGGATATTTAATTACTGATTGCTTGCAGTAGTGAAGCCCATAATCCGACTTGGGCTGTTCGAGAATCTGACTATGCGGTGCGCCGGAACTATTTGCTTACCTAAATAATGGTGTAGTTCATATGAAGTCAAGTACATGCTTTATGAATACTGAAAGGTGAATAGTAACCGCGCTGTGGTCGATCGAAGGTCACTTGGTGACATCCGGAAGTGATAAGCGTGTAATTACCACACTCAACCAAAGAACGGATCTAACAAATCGCTGTTGCTGTCAGATGGAAAAGAAGTTGGTTTCCACAAAGAATTTGGTTCCTTTATGCAAGCTGCGATCATTATTGACAAGAACGGATGAACAGCGAGAATATTTCATAATCGGAAAGAAAGGCGGATAACAATGTTACAAAGTAGTGCAGTTAAAGATCAACCATCGCTTTGTTGGTGTGGAAATGCCATAGACCGATAATCGCATGGCTCGTATGACAACGCTAAAACCGAGGTTGAAGGTTGGAATGAAATGAAGATTTTTGTAACTACGACGAAAATCACAGGCTGGTTGCACGTGACCATTTGTAGGTAATTCTAGTCTGTCAATTTTTCCCCTTGCGATCGCATCAAAATCAAATTCTTACTTGTGATTACCCAGTGAATTTCGTCCTACACAGAGTAGATGAAGCGTGAACTGAAAAACTAGGAAGTACTGGACGAATCCTTCACTACTCTCATATACCACTTAATCAGTTTCGAAATGTTTCCAACCGAGTCACAACCCTGGATGCTAGTGCTGGGATGCGTGAGATGTGGCATTTGCACAAAGATGGGTTGTGCTATATCGTGTATAGCCCAAAACAAGAACGGACTGATCAGTTGCCCAGAAGTCATGTCGTTCGGAATTAATGCCGGAAAGCGATTGCAGAATAACAGCTTCGGAAGCAAGCGATACTTGAAAAAAGAAAAGAATATAAATATCACTGTGTGGGAGGAAGAATTTTTCCTCATGGTGAAATAGGCTTGATGATAAGTGCATTAAGACACTGACGGGTAATTTGAACGAATGTGGCAAGCATCCTCCAGGAGGAAATATCGGTGGGCTTGTAATGTGGTTCCTTTCGGAGTCCAGTAATATGTCCTCGCGACAAGCTGATCGGATCGTGATAATCACTTTGAAGTAACTGAGACCTTCTCCTACTAAGTTGAAAAGGATATACGGTGTTTTGTCCAGAATCGACAGGTCGAGGATAAGTTTGGCAGCATTTTCAGCACGTTATGAAGGTATTACATATGCATATATAGTAAAAAGTGAACTTGGGCAGGCTATCTTCGTGACGTGAGTACTGATACTATCTTATGGAACAAATGTCATTCTTCCACCAACGTCGAAACATCAATGGTTCGGTCACGTACTACGTCACCAAGATACAGGATTGTCTCGATGAACGCTGGGCGACGCACTTTGACCGCAGTGGTGGTCACGTGGATTAATGTTGTCAATAAAGAGTTGAGACACGGGCCCATGATCAACTTAAGGTCCCCGCTAATGGAAGGAAAACTGGATGACAGTTTGCACTGATCTTACATCCAATCGCCGAGCATGGGCGGCGATAATCCATGATATCCTTTAGCAGGAAATGATCATGCAAAAGTAAGTAAGCGTCGCTCAGACTGTACACCGCGACAGGATCACTCGATCCCTTGCGTAGCTATTATGATCACATTTAGCCATTGGGCTATTCACCTTCGCCAACGTCTTAACAACTAAAAAAACATTTGTGCCTTAGTTGTAGATCACTCTAACAAACATGAGAAACTCTAACTGGGGTCTGTCTGTCGTTGTTCTTGTAACTTCAGTCTATGAAAATGTGCTACATTTCGCTTGAATCTGCTCTCAGCATTCTAATCATGACTCTGCTATTTTACCCAAATGGGCAACCAAAACCGGCGCACGAAAGTGTATGGTTAATGGTTGTAAGAACTGAACTGAACTGAACAAACGGTAAACATGGTTACGAATCCAACTGCCAACTTGACAAGCATTCTATTTCTTTTGGAAGAGTGCTCCTGATCACGTACATACCAAAAAGACTGGAGGACGGCATGGATAATGGCGGGACAAAGTCAATGCACAAGAGGACCTGTCGCCCTTTTTGTAAATTGGTATGATNTGACAAGCATTCTATTTCTTTTGGAAGAGTGCTCCTGATCACGTACATACCAAAAAGACTGGAGGACGGCATGGATAATGGCGGGACAAAGTCAATGAAAAACGTGCTACCAAACCCGGGAGCTTGGTAGAAGGAATGGAACTGAGAAAGAGTAGTCCACTAGAGTTTCCTAACATGAAATCAAGACGCTTGCCCTACGTCGTAAAACGGGCAGCTGTTTATCTCAATGGTCTACTTATTCAACGGAGAGATATAATCTGACAATCAGTTGCTTAGTTGACCTAGCCTGGTCGTTGATACAAGGGCTTTTAGACTGCCGTGACATTAGGGTATGCACAGTACTGTTTCTCCCTTCCTCAATTCCCGCATTGTTGGACAATTAACCCCAATCGCATTTGCTGTCGTTTTTCCCACGTTGTAATAACTATAAACGAACTCAAGTCTTCTGCGTGGCGATCGATGAACGTAAGTGAAGCTTATGCTTGTAGCAAGCTTATTTCTTCTCTCACTCCTATTGGAATGGACAAAAGGAGAAGAATGTTTGAAAACGAGAACCAAGGCAGCGGTACGTCCACTGAAAACAATACAGTTTCAGTTTTTGCAACAATTAACTATGCACTTTTGTGAGCCAGTTTTCATTGCTGTTTCACGATTACCTATCTGAATGAAGAAATAAGGGGAAGACTGGGAGGTTCAAATCAGTGCCAGAGTGAGAAAGGGGAATTCACGAAGGTTGAGTTTGTAGGACT